AAACAGTTATTTATTTATTTTGCTGGCGAAAGAAAATATACGAGGGCCGTGAAATGTGCGGCAGCCGCGCGTAATCTGCGTTTGAAGCGCAGCAGGAGACCGACGAGGCGCCTGCGGTTCGTCAAGGTAGACTTTTTGTTGACCTATTGTGTCGAGCGGGTTGCCAGCCGGCGGCTCTGCAGGCGCTCGGGAAATTAAATTTTCATCCGGCAGGACACACCACTAAAGTTTTGTTGCCCCAACGCTCTCCCTCTCTTTCGCTTCCGTGCCAAAAGTTGCGCAGACCATAAAAATAATGTTGGTATTTATTACCGGCCTAAACCACATAGAAAGGCAGGTGCAATTTCTAAGCAACTCACAGGTGTATAGAAGCATAAGAAGTTCAAATTTTGAATTCAAGTTAATGCTTACAAAAATTATTATCTTAAATAAAAATGTTAATTAAAATATTTAAAAATTAATTTAACAAAATTGAATTACAGGCAAGTCTGCTCCCGCTGGTACCGTTTCCAGGAGTTAAATAAAATTTAAAAAAAGGCAATTTCACTTCTCATTATTTACCAATATTCACTAATGAAATTTATCCAACAGTTTAATTTGTAAGCGCGGGAACTTTTAAGCTTTTCAAAAGCATTATTGTCTATTTCATAATCTCTTGGGTTCGTAGAACCGTCAGTGATAATTTGAATTGGCAGTTTTGGTCAGCAGAACCACTTGGATTAGGATAGGATGGAATAACAGTTCCTGCTCCAATTAACGGGGAGTCGGGTTTTGCCGAGTATTAATCCCGCCGTTAGTCCTTCAGCCATATAGAAACGAGAGGGCGTTGACAAGGAGACGCGCAATACGCCGCTCCCGGCGACGAGATGTGAACCCATTTGCGGCGCAAGACATTCAATCCAGTTCTCATCATCGTCATCCAGTTGCAATTCCATTTCTTGGCTTCTCCTTTGCACGCGGCAATGGGAAATGTGATTCCCCTTGTAATCCCCACCAAATTAAATATGCTTCTACTGCGAGTTTTATTTTTCATTTCTTAGATACATTTTTATTAAAAATCATCCCCAGATCGAAAAGAGAAGAAAATAAATTAAAATTTCAATACCTTTGTACATTGTAATAGAGAAAAAAATATGAATTATACACAATAACTGTATTTTTTACTTAACAAACATTAAATTACTTGAGAGGTAAAATTGTGTTTAAGTGTGACTGTTTTGTTTTTGAGGAATTTTTTTTTGAAGAGTAATATGGGTCGTGTCTCGTGTTTGTGTTTTTTGAAGTGTAAATTCAGTTTCAGGGCTAAGATTTTAAGACCGATTTACTGAAACCTTGCTAGTGATCAAGAAAAACCATATAGGTGATAAGTTTTTTATTGCCAAAATTTAAACTTTTATATAAAAATCGATTCCCTGCCAGCAGAAGAATCTTGGACGATTTCAGTAGCCCACGTAAAAATCAGTCTCAAAATTAAATTTAATGTCAAGTTTTTAACTATTAAGTTAGATTAAAATAAAATAATAAAACTTTGTTCCGCTTTGGCCAACAATTAAATTTTTCCCTTCTTCTAAAAATTGATTTTTTTTCAATTCGGAAAATATTTGGAACCATTTGGCGAATAAACAATGTTAATAGAATCAATTATGTCGTGTTGCGTATGCTCATTAACACGTTAGTTGTCGTTTCTCTAGCTCGACATTTCATATTTATAATGAACAAGGGCATTGTTCTGTGTTCAACAATGAAAATGAAATGGAGTGTTAAAATAGGCTAGTTTGTTTACTCTGAATTTTCCTCACAGACACACACTCACGTCCATTATTATTTGCACAAAGGAAAAGCAGGTCGCGCACAATTAAATGCACCCATGAAGGGTGTTGCGCACTTTCTTGTTTGAGCATCTCGCGCGCGCCGTGTGCATTAATCGCCGGCAGCTCCTGGGAGCGAAAACAGGTCGGCTGAATAATTAAAGCGGCCCAACACAATGTGCAGGTTAATATTTGAAGGTGAGAGCGTAGCTCTAATTGAAACAAACACGGCGAATTATTTTGCTCCACTCCTAGAGCAACTCGTTGCAAATTTAATTGGCTGCCGTTTCCCCGAGCCAGGTTAAGCTTTCCGCCGACCTTTGGGGTCATCGGTGAGCAGCACATCTAAAACGAAAGAGGCCCTCCAACTGTTTGCATTTTGGCGCCAATTACGCAATTAGCACCACCGACTTGATTTGCACCATGGAAACACTACAATACACTTTGCTCGGCTCGAGACGCTTGGGAAATCTAAAGACAATGTTTGTTTTGCTTCGGATGTAATTAGAATTTCCTGGAAGCCAATTTATAGAATTATATAACATCAAATGTGTCAAAATTCATCATCAAAAGAGCTGAAAGTAGCAGTCAATTATTTAATTAGCTCAACACTTTTCTCAGTTTCAAAGGTAATATGAAAGAAAAAGCAAAAAGGTTTTTGCAGCGAAAAGCTAATTAAAGATGGAAATGGTGCTTTGTAAAGAGAGATTTAAATGCAGAGAGCACACCTTGCGGCACAAAGTTTGTTGTCAGTTGCAATAGTAAAAAATGTTGCGAGACTACCGGTGCTAATTTTTAATTCAGCACGGACGCGGAGGTCATTAATTAACACATTTTTCCGTGAATAATTTCGTCAGGAATTAGAGTAATTTGTTTCGGCACTTGAGAGTTGAAAAATCACATTAATTAGCGAAGGCGGGGCGTGACGGAAGGAGCAGAATTCGTTTCTTCCATTGGCAGCGATGGAAGCGCTTGGTCGTTTTGAGATCAATGAGAAAGAGGTCACCTACAGGTCACCGGAGGTCAAATAAGGCGACTCCAATAGGGAGGCAAAAGAGACATTTATTAAAGGCAGGTGCTGACTCAACCCAATAAATGCTACAGCTATTTACATTTCGCACTGGGGCGGAGAAAATTACACGGTCCGTTCTTTATTGCGGTGCGCATTTGTCATCCGCCCTTCCCTCTTTTCTCCTGGGAAAACGCACACACTTTTTTATTTTGCATTTTGCTCTCGCATAAGTTGCTCCTAGCGAGGGACAAATTGAGTTTCCTCTCGAGCTTCAACCTCATTTTTCATCACCGCTCTCTATTTTAAAGTCTTTTAAGTCTCATTATTTTGTGCAAGGATATTTATGCCAAAATCGTTCTCAAGGTTAAATCTCTTGAGGCTGCGGTTCGACCAACTCTGGCCTAGCTTTTAGTAACGCTACAAAGTTACTCAAAACTTCCGCCAACTCTTGGTGGACTGAGAGTGGCGTGGAAATTGCTTCGTGGAATTTGAAGGCGAAAGCAAAGTTAATCGGGAGTCGCTTCCTCAAATAAAATGCTAATTTTGGTCTTTAGCATAGTCAAACAAACTTGTCATTCAATTAGAGTGCTCGTTTAATTAATTTTATTCTTTGGACTTTCATAACCGTTTAAACCCTTTAGAATATTTTTTTTTGCCTTATAACTGAAATCCGAAGTTTTTTAAAATAAAATTTAGGTCTCAAAAATATTTTCATCAACTAAAATTACTGCAACTAAAAATTGAAAGCTCACAAGATCAATGAAAGACTTATCAAGAAATGTGGCAGTTTATTTTTTGCGATGAGCGATGAAGTACAGAAGGACATGTTTATGTTCCAAGATTTGAATAAAAAAATGATACCTGCAAAACAATTTTTTCACGAATTTATACCTAAGTTGGCTTTTAATAATTTTTAAGCTGTTTTTGCATTTCACGTTATGCATGTTTTAATTTTTTTTTTGTTACTTAAACTCTTCTAGATCAAGCCACGTTCATTAAGTGATCTTTCATAAAAGATTGGAAATTTGTCCTTGCTTAAAGTGTTTCCTTGTAAAAGTTATAATCTCCAATCGAAAATCGAGAGCTCTTTGCAGACTCAGCTGGAACACGGTTCAACGCACAAAGTGATTGATTGGAGAGGAACCAAGAAAAAAGACCGCGAAACTGACACAAATGATTGGTGGCTGATGAGGCGCGGTGCTCCTTTTCAGATGAAGCAATTTGCGATTCTGGCTGCGGGCGGGAACACAAAATGTGTCTAAACGCGAGGGCGCGCGCAAGTTGCCTCGATAAAACGTATCATTGCGTGCCGCGGCTCAATTTCGCGTCCCGAAATAACCGCAGATAAAGAACTGTTTTTCGTAACTATCGGCAAAGTCGTGCATGCAAATCGACCATTGTTGCGTCCAAGCATCAGCAACCGTCGGACGGCCCGAGGGAGAAACTTAAAACGAGCGCTCGCTCATGGGCGAATTTGATACTTTTTGCAATCATTACGGGCCTCATCGATCGCTTTCTTACTTAAATAACATCAACTGAATCGTGGTTTGGGCAAATTTAGACGTCGTTAACTTTGGGACAAATTTTGCCTTTTAATGGGCTTTCTTATGTAATCAAATGCTGATTACCGGCACGAAATACAAAACCAAAAGGTCGGATTGTGCAATTATTACAATCACAAGAATAGATCTTGAACATGCCGTACATGTTCAGAAAGGTTGTATTTAATACTGCAATTTAATTATCATGAAATTAACTTTTCAGTTTGACGTGACGTCTCATTTACCTGGAGTTTAGGTTTTCATTTTAATTCTAAATATAGATTTTTATGTGTAAAATAAATAAACTACTTGTTTTCGATTTTAAAGACGTACATGATTGAGACCTGAGAGTAATTTTGGATTAAAATTCGCTTTTTCTTTGATAGGGTTTTCTTGAGTCGTTGATTGTCGTAAAAGAAATAATTTTGTTAGTGTGGTTTACATAAATGTCTGTAAAAGTTAATTAACTTTCTAAATTTTGTCAAACTAATTCGCAGCCCGTAGTTGAAACGAGTAGAGCAAGATGGTTTTTTTCTACAAAACAATAAATGACTAAAAAAAAACAATCAAGGAAAAGCCGAACATAAATTCAAATGCCATTATTTTGAAATTTTGAAATATAAATTTAATCTAACTGACCTTATTGCAGCTGACGTTTGAAGCCCTTACATTTTACTGAAAGAAAGAAAAACATATTTATTGAATGTGAAGCATTGTATCTTGTATCGGAATTAATCTCAAGATTGGGAATTCAAAACTGAAATATTATGTAAATGAAGTTCAATAAAATTAAAATGAATTAAATTGCAAAGCTGCTGACAATGGAGTTGAGGCTTCAAAGAGGAAACAACATTCGCTCGCTCATCGATGATCTTTACAAACACTCACCAGATAGGTTAAGAGGCGCCCGACGGTGTCGAAGCATCCTGCTCCACTGAAGGCGACGTTCTCTGTCCTCTGGAAGCGGCTCACAGGCCGCTGTTCACGAATGCGCGCGCGCACATGGGCAAGTCTCTTTTGAGCCCTGACAGGCCGCAAAGCCCGCTTCCTTCCTCTGGGAAATGCTATGGTATTTTCAAGAAAAATTCCATTAATATTCTTAATTATCCGAAACAATATCTATAATGGTGCCCATGTTAAGTTAGTTGATACATTTTACTGTATAAAAAAATAATATAACACGAAAATAAAAAACTATCCAAGCCAATGTTATGTAATATCTAGTTTTTAAATTTATTCATTATTCAAAATTTCTAAGTAGGCGAAGTTTTAAATAATTTTCAACGTGATAACAACATTCGGCGCTTGACACTGATCATTCTTTACGCTTTTACATAGCTGACTGGCATGAATATTTTTTTTATCAATAAATCTAATTAAAAACAAAATTCATAACATTGAAGTGCATACTGAAACTTTTTGGTGATTTTCCCGCCTCTTTGAAATTAAATAGTAATTTTTCCAATTTACAACAAAAAACAGTTTTCTATATCAGCGCATGTAAACGGTAAATTAACATTATCATTATTATCAACATAATGCAATTAAATTCCATTCGTTTATTGTCTCACAACAGGTCAAAGATTGTTTTGCGAAAAAATCACATTGAAGAGAGAATTGGTCCTAGTAAACAACTTACTAAAACTCATAAGTTTAATTTAAAAGCAAAAAAGTTTCCAAATTGAACCTACTTGCCGAGCTGGAGCTAAAAAGGGGAAATAGATTCAAAAAAGTTACATAATCCTTTACATGCAATTTTAAACTCAAAAACCGAAAAGAAAGTATGTACATATAACATAAGTTTTCTCAAGTTTTGTTGATTTTAGACGTAAGTTTTAATAAACATAAAGAAAGTATATATAATTTACAAAATGTTAGCTTTTTACTCCTGTCCTGTATTAAATATTAAATTAGACGATGAGGTTTCCGGAAATTGAAATGTAAGTGGAGAAAAGTGCACTCACATTTTTGTGCTGTAAAATCACTCCCTTTTTCCGCTAAGATTTTCAAGCCAGTGCATAAGCTAAGGTCCGTATGGGCCAACGTGAGTGCATTATTAAACATACACTCTCTCGCCCATAAAAAGAAGCGCTGGCAACGTAATTCTGTATTCAAGAAAGGACGACGTTTTGACTTTCGAGTTGTATCTTCCTATACCTTCTGCTACCTGCGCCAAACAGGGCCGCTCTCGGCTCTCCAAAACATTTTTTTTAAGACAAATGAATATATGAGAATAATATAATTATATAAACACTCTGAGCAAATTGCTTTTGAAATATTTATGAAATGAAATCTATTATAGAATTGGATAAAAATAACAAATATATTTAAAGAAAATAAATCTTCTCAGAGTGGTTGCAGTGCTTTCCGTGCGTTTTATTGATAGAGAGAAGAGCAGGGTTAAAATAAAGAGAAAGCCGGAAGCTATCTAAATCATGATTGTCGACGACCGCGTTCGTCCTCTTTTTGTTTTACACGCTTGCAAGGGCTGTGCGCGCGATGCGATGGACCTGATTTGTGTTGGGGGCGAACGCCCCATGCTGCCGGCCGATGCCCTCAAGAAGATACAAAAGCCTGTAGCACACGTGGTGGTGGAAAAATCGAGCGCAGATTAATTTCCTTCCCTTCAAGCGTGCCTCTTATTCTTTTTGAGTCTTTCTAAGAAAACCTTTCATCCTATTTACTAAAAGGACAACGCGACTACCCGAGATGATCTTGCAGGAAAAGCTGCATACGTTGATACGTTGCCTTTGCTTCTTCTTAGGAAAGGAATAAAAAATATAAATCTTTTAACAGTCAACTCAGCAAAACAATTCATTGGATTCGGAAAATGTTGATGCAGAAATGCAACAGTTGCACAATACTTTTCTTTGCAACATGTCTTTGCTGTTTAAATTTGTTGCATGAAATTAGAATTGCGATGTAAAAATTTCATTTTAATTTACTTGCTTACGTATTTTTCTTTGTATGCAGAGGGTTAAATTGATTTTAAAAAAGTGATCCTTAACGTATCATATTATCATAATCTTAATTTTTAACTATTTGGTTGGAGGGACACAATTTGCTTTATAGTAAATAAATCCCTAATTTTTTTATTTTTTTTTTTAGCACAACGAACGTAGTTTTTCTAAGTTTTAATTACCAAATAGAACCAGAGTCATAAAATCCCTTTCATTATTTTATCAACATATTTTTTGAGTCAAAATGATTTTAATTTTTTTTCTTGCATAATTTCTTAAATTAGCTTTTTCCGAAGATATCGCTGTTGGCTGCCGTGAGTGGTGCCTTCCATGAGTATTATTAAAAAAAATATTTTTGCAAGGATTTTGCATCCTATTATCATATTTAGAGCGGTTTCCGCACAAGCCGTATACATCAAAGAGGGTTTTCCGCGAAACATGACGGTGGTCGCCGGTGATTTGGCAGTTCTGCAGTGTCCCACTCTGTCCGACCTCGAGCCCTACATCCAGTGGCTGAAGGTCTACATAAGCTCCACTAATGATGACTCTTCCGTTCCTCAGGGCGTAATTTTTCAGGTAGTCCTCAATCAGGGCTCTATTTTAGCCCTTTCAGACGGTGGCGGAGAAACGCGATGGTGACGAAAAAAAAATGAGTTGCTTTTTTTGTGTTTAGGTGCTGGAAGCTAATCTGGCGTTGGAATCAAATTTTTCTTATAATAATTCGATTTTAAATTTAATGTAATTAATGTAAGTGGTGACAGGCTATAAATGTTGGTGCGGAAGAGCGACATTTTTTATTTGTTTTGGGAAATTTCCTCTTCGGCAGATCTGTCAGTCGCAAGTTCTTTGACAATAATTTCATTTCAAACTATCGCATCCACAAAAATTAATCAAGAATCAAATTTTTGCAAACCCATATTTCTAAAAATTATTCTGTTAGTGACAAAATAATTTTTTTGGTAAATGAAATTTATTAGAACAAAACTTATAATTTTATGAGATTTTTTGCTAATATTCCATTTTCCATTTGCATTTATTTGTATTAATTTTTGTGAATTGTGAACTGGATTTAAAATAATGCAGTGCCTCTGGCAGTATTTAAGTGGATCACATCTGTACTTAAAATGGTGTTGCTTGTTAATTACGATATTTATTAACCATAAAGAAAATTTGCTATGTTTTAAATATGGAAGTATAATGTTTTGTTAGAATGGTAGGAACTAGGATATTTTTAAACAAAAAATACACGAAAAAATTCTCTAATTCTTAGCCTCTATTGTTGGGGGGATTCAATACAACTATTGTAATACATTATTTTCATGGCCTTACACTGCATCAATACATAAACAAACATCCACAATTTTCAAGTACACCAAAAGTCAGACAACCATAATTTTTTTTAAATGCACATCAAATACATTTCTCAGCCGGGGATCACACTCTATCAAATAATAATAACAACAACACTGACTGCGTCCTTTTCAGATCACATCTGAGCGTAGTTTTACACGGTGCTGTTTGTGCTCAAGTCTTCCTTTCAATCGTCATAGCTAGCAAGCCTGAAACAATTAAAAATTTTAATAAACAAACTTGATTATCAAAGAATATATGTAATTCGGAGTTTTTAAGTTCATAGCAAAAATGAATGAAGTAAGACGCAGAAAAATTTCTTTCCCACATCTTTAATTTTTAATTTACTGAAATCTACATTAGAGATCATTAAAGAAATTGATAATTTATAAATAAGTCACTACAGTGAAAATTTTAAACAATTATTTTAGGAATATTATTTTTTTGACCAATCACAATGTAAGAAACCTTCTCCCTTATATTATTAGTACATTTTGCGACTTCAGAGGATATGTAATAATTTCAATCATTTCTATTAAAATATAAAAAATTCCAGAATTGATGAACTTGGTTCTTCAATATTTTGAGACGAAAAAGTTCACCTTAACAGCCATTTCGTAGCCTCCCTTGCTCTGCATCTGGCTCTGCAGGGCGTTGAGTCTGCCGGTGTCTCTTGAAATGTCACCAGAGCCAATGTGGCCTGTGTGCTGGAAATTCGTCGGATTTCCAATCATGGAACGGTCAATCCTCGGCCTTCTGGGCTGCGGCCTCTGCAAATGGGAAAGTTTTAAAACTTTGTGGAAAACATAATTAACTTGTTTGTTTAGTAGGGGTTAAAAAGCGGCTTAGGCTTTCAGGAGGAAACAATAGGGGGCTTTCTTTCTACTTGATAAGCGGATTTGAGCGAGTGAATTTAAGTGCAATATTATGTGTGGAGATAAGAGAGCGCCGAGAGTTAGTTTACCTGGTGCTGGGTGACGCAGCACGAGAACCACTGCAGCCACAGGTCTCCGGAACCAACGCCCCTGCTTCGGAGACTCATGGTCACACCATTGGCCCTGAGGAATTTAACCAATCAATAAATATGTACATACTTAACAACATGAGGTGCGTGCACAGCACACAAACAATGCGAATCAACGGCCAGATGCAGTCGAATAAATAAATTTCATGCCGCTTGAGCAAACATAAGCAAATGCGCGCACGATCTCTGCCAGCTTTTAAAATAATTTATGCTGCTTGATATGGAATAAACTTCAACCGACTGCATCTAATGAGAATTTCAATTGATCATACTATTTTCTCAAATGATTTTTTTTGCGAGAAATAAATAATAAATTGTAATTTAACGTTGAAATTATTAGTTTTTACAATTACTTGAAAATAATTAAAAAAAAAAAAATTCTAATAGTTTTAAACATTTAATAAGTTGTGATATTTTATTGTTTTCTTATGAACGCGGTCATAATTTTGGCATGGGTCAACCGATTTTTATATGAAATTTGTCAGGTTAGTTGTTCTTAAGACGTAGACAAACATTTAAGGAAGAATTTTTTTCAATAAGAATTCAATTTCCAAAACCGACAATCCATTTTAAGTGGAAATTAATCTGTAATTTGATCATGTAATTAATAACGCTACAATTTAATTTAACTCAATAATAATTGCTAAATGTGAAAGGAGTCATGGTGTAAATATTAAATGCGAGAGAAATTAAACTGATTGGAACGCAAGTCGATCGAAACGATTGGAATTCGTCACGACTTCTGCTCTCAGCTTGGATCTGCGCGCAATTAGCATAATTGGCCGCAAACCTGACGATCAATTTGTACTTAATGCACTTTATGCCGAGCAAGACAAAGTCAGCATGTGAATATTTTTTCAAAGCTCTTGGTGACGTCAGCCCTTGTCGAGTTTTGATCGGCTCGTTTCACTGCGGCGGCAAAGCCAATTCCCGTCGCGCGATGCACTTAAAATAATTTCACAGCACTCTGGCGTTTTTTGTGCCTCTTGTTTATTTTTCCAACCCACTTCTGGATCCAACCCAACCCGAACCTCCGGAATTCTCGCCGAATTAGGAATTTTAGCAATTTTGGTAATAAAAATTCAGACCCGGCGCGTGTATTTTTTTCCATTATTTTGGCAGTAGAATTTTTTTGACGTGAAAAATTGGAGATGATATTTGGATGAGCCGCTTTATGGGTCGGAGATGATTTATGCCTCGTCGCCTGCGGACTGACGCGTAAATCAAAATTGACTCTCCCTTGGGTGCGGAATCGGCTCGAAATTGGCTTCTATTTTAAGCGTGATGCCTGTCCATTAGGCAAACTGGAGCACCTGTCTCTATGCATCATCACCGGCTAATTGGCTTAATTAAGAAGCGTTAACGAAATTGATCCCATGGTGCAGTTACATTCCAGCGTCTTGAGAGATCCCGAAAATTGCTTTTGACTTATAAATAGATCCGAGAAATCAATTTTTTATTAAGAAAACACAAGAAAAATGGCACATCAAAGGAGTTTCTTGATAATTACCATTTTAAATTTAGGAATTGTTACATTTTATTCTTTTCTGTGCATATTTAGTTATTAATTTAATTAAAATTAATTTGTGATTGATAAAGTAATTAAAAAATTAATCATAAGCAGCAAATTAATAAGTAATAAGATAAACTGTTTTCTTTTTCATTAAATTAATATACAGAATATTAGATTTTAATTTAGTTGCAAATTTTATCTTCCAAAATAATAGGTTGTGTCCAGATTATCAACTTTATTCAGCTATTTAGTGTCTCTTTGCCCGTTCTGGAGGAAAATTTTACGGAGGCTAAATATAATTTTACTGAAAATTTACGTCTTATGTAAAATTAAAAAAAAAATCATACTTTTATTTCTAGAACCAATTCCAAATCTCAAATATTTAAATAAAAAATGTTTCCAAGTTATTGCATCACTTAAAGTGAATGTCACTTTGAACTTTGGACTTGCAATTTTCAAACAAAATTAATCGTAAAGAAAATTATTATAAATTATACGAATTATTTTAAAAAATATGCTAAAACTTGACCATGAATCGTAAATAAAGGAATTAAACATTAAATATGATCCCTGCCAGCAATTTTTTATATAATTTTTATCCATGACTTTATCTATTATATTATCCATCATCCGCAACTGTGCTTAAAATGAATAAAAATGAGCCACATGAATGGTTTCCGACATAAATAATTGGGCTGTGGAATTATTATTTTGTGGCGGGGCAACCGTTGGCCCGGAAAGAATGAAATTGCCGAGGACTAGATTCAAAAGATGTGTGTATGTGTTTTGTGTTCTCGGATTAGTCAAGGGCTTTGTTGACAAATTCAGTCAGAGAAGACGGCTTGAGCGTGACCGGAATGGCGAACGCGCCTTTTCTAGCCCTTCATCCACTGCCGACTGAATAAACGAGTTGAATAGACAGTCAGGCTGCACATGTGGCCGCTTCTTAGCAAAAGTGCGTCAGATGTGTCGAAAGGTGACGTCAACTCTGTAGAGCACTTTTTGCTCATTTCACTTCTCGATTCGCAAACTGCACTTGAAGAGATGACAAGAGAATAATTTAGAATAGAGCGAGAATCAATAAATAACTGGCGAGTTAAAAAGCTGAACTGTAAATAAAAGGATTCACAATTTCACATACAGTGGAATATATTACGGTTGTGTGTTGTGCGGTTTCATCTTGAAATTTTCGCGATTTCATTGTAAAAAAGCCACAAACCGCACCGGTTGTGGCAGTGGCAGGACAAAATTCAAAATACGGAAATGCAAACAAACACGTTTGCTAATAAATTTTATTTGCGCAATCCCTCTGTTTTGAATAAATTACAAAAATCCAAGGTTTTGTCAATTTATTTTTCTTTCATGTCTTCAATATTTCTTTAAATTTATAGTTTTTCTCATTAAAAAAGCTCATTTTATTTTTTCTTTCTAGTTTTTTTGTTCAAATATTCTCCACTGCAAACAAGAATAAGTTAATATTTATTTTGATGTCATTCATAATAAACGTGATCAAATAATAAAATAGCATAATTTCTTACAAATTTTCCTTTGATATTTTTTATCTAAAATCGTTCTTTTAGAAATATAAATAAAGTTATTTAATCAAATTCACGTGATTAAATTAGGTATTAAATTTATTAAAAGCTGAAAAAAGTTCTGATTTTATAATTTCAGAGGTCAATCGATTTGTGTAAAAAAATTGCCAGTAATTTTCATAGAAAGACTCTTAATTTGTGCAATTTTAATCTTTTTACGCGCAATTAAAATTATCCTTATGCTATTACAATTTATTAATTTGTAAATAAATAAAAACTGAAATCTGCTGAATAAATTTGCTTCACCAAATAATACTGAATTAAAATAAAAAAAAAAAAATTTTAAATTTTTCCTCTTCCAGAAAAAATGAATTCGGGCAGCTTGGACGTGAAAAATGCGGCGAGAAAATAAACAAAAAGTCACCGTGTGTCTGGAGGGAACGTGCTATTTCCAGCGCAAATTGTGCAGACGCGAGCGCTTTTCGCCTGCTCGAGTGGCCTTTTGAGAATGCAAGGGGGTTGGAGGGTTGAAATCGACCGTGCAAATCTTGCTTGCTAACCTTTCTTTGGCGGCGCCGAGCCGAGATCGGATTTTCTCCATGCCTGGCGAGATCCACCGATTGTCTGCCACCGGCGGGCGGTCCGATTCGCACTTTGACCCGCGAGACCCACCCTCCCCTCGGCTGATTCATTCCGATGCAGGGGGACAACAATGCAGCTGCTCAAGGGACGACGGATTTTCACGTTAATGCTGAAAATGCACTTTCGTCGCGCGGCCAAAGTCTGCGTTTGCGCTGCTGTTATTTTGATGGCATTTCGAGACAGACGAATCATTCAGAGTGCCTCATGTCTTGTACATGTGATCACTTAGATTTATTGAATGTGGTTTTTTTATTTATTTGATAAATATTCCATTTTTATAAAGAAACTTTAAGTAATTATTAGGCTCGTGCATTTTAGTCAGTTTTTACATTTAGGAGTAAAATATTTGGCAAATTTTTGGTTTAATTTAAAGAAATTTTGTCCCCTTTTCAGCTGGTTTTTGTCAATATAGTCAATTTTAGTTGATTTTTTTAATTGGTATTTTTTGCTATAAAATACTTCAAAATACAAAATTATTGTTTTGACCGATTTTTTTTATTTGTTTTTGCAATTATGCAGAACTTTGTGATTCTATGATACGTATGATACATTAAAGGAAGGATCCAATTATTGTTGGAACAATTTAATTTCCGTGACGTTGTTGAACTATTTATTTGAAGATAGTTCAACAGGGCAGGTTTATTAATTGAGTGTTTTGTTTGATTCTTGAGATAAAAATTTATTATTGTTTTAAAAAGTTATTAAAAACTCAAAAGATGTTTTTCTATTAATTGGAAAATTTTGAATTTTTTATCGATCGATATTCTAATCCTTTTTTGTAATTAAAGAATAAGATTTGAGAGAAAAAATGGCTTTAATTAGTGATAATTTCATTTGCTTGAAATTCAATCTGTTTGCAAAAAAAAAAAAATGTTTAAATAAATATTTTATTTTATTTTTACTTTTCAAAAAATTTCTACGATATTAGGAATTATGCTTTTAAGTCTGAAAAAACCTACTTTTTACTTGCAATAGGTTAAAAAAAAATTTATCCACGACCATTCTTCCTATCCCGTTAAGATTTTACTCTGGCTTCTGAAACTCAATGTTATAATCAGGATGAAACAACTTGTTTAAATATTAACAATACGATAAAAGATCAGGTCAGAAGAAATTGTTTTGATTACAAAAAAAAATTGTTATTTTCTTATTTGTGGATTTTCAATTAATTAAATTATTCTGGAATATCTACGGCAAGTCTAAAAATTAATTAATTTGTCATTTTCTTATGTGACAATTTTGCCTTTGAACAAATTTTCCTGTAACTGTAATTTGCAAAAAACATTTTGCATCTCATCGTTATCAGCCTGCTGTTGCCAGGTTAAAATTTAAAAAAGTCTTCTTTTTTAATTTAAAAGAGATTATGAGACAAGAGATTGCGCAGGAGCAGCAGCAGTGGCCAAAAAATAAACAGTTCTCCGTTTCCCAGCGCGGTAGATTATTCTGAGAATCACGCAGCATTAGCATGAATGGAGAAGTTTGCAGCAAGTAGCGGCGAACCACCTGCGCGTCATTCAAAAAACGGCTGATGATAATAAAATTAGTGCTGAATTATCGCATCTGCACAGGCTTTCGTCAAAAGCAAAACACTCAAAGTTGGCCTCGCGATCCAGCCTTATCTACCAGTGATTCACTTTACATATTATCAAAGTCCGGGGACAGCTCATCTTTTAATACGACTTTAATTAATAAAATTTTTAAAATTGATTTTTATTTACCTTCTACTTAAATTTTATATGCATCCGTTTAAAAAAAATGCATTAATTTGATCTGAAGATGAAACTTGGCCGACGTCCAAGGTTAAAAAAGTTAATAATAAAGAAGGTTTATCTATCTTTGTCTCTCACCAGCTGCGGCCTGATGATTTTTCCAACGAGAAAAAACTAAAAATAAATCGCGTGCATGTAATACGGAAGCTGCGTTGAATATGAAACGCAACCCGCCGAACTACCGGAGGGGATCTTGTCATTCCAAGGAGAATAATAATCGACCCCTGCGTGAGTCATCCGGGGTCCCCCTGTTCGTTGCCGCCGCCGCGAACCCCAAAAGTAACACATAAATCTTCTCCCCGTGCACTGGCCGTGTTCGAAATGCACATGAAAAACCCGTCCTGATTCGTGACGAAAAAAGGCACCGATTTGTGCGGGACGTTTTGGTAGATTTTCGGACGACCTGGACTCACCTCTTTTATTAGTGTTTTGCTGCGTGCTCGCCGAATTCCAGCTTTTTTTCTCGACTGCAATGCCTCCCGGACAGCTGCACCGCAAATGATTCGTACACAATCACCGGCCGCTCCACAACGGTGACCGGTTCGTTTCACATCGTATGCTTTCAATGCTAAAGTGACACCGGTTTTCCGCTTCGGCGGGTTTTTACCGGTTAACCGTTTAACTTTACCTCACCAACATTACGGTACTTCGACTTTTAGCGTTGCCGCTTGGTGCGCTTTCGCTGGGAACCAAAGTTCTAAAAAGGCATCGCGACGGTGGTTCCAGCGACCCCACCGGTCGACCGAGGAACTTTCTTAATGGTGCATCAAATGATTGAGGTGAAAAATAATTTAATTTTTTTTATATCATTACTTTTATTAGAAACAAAAAGAATTCACAAGAAACTTGATATTTCTTCATAAGTCTGCGGAAAAATAGCTTCAGCATCAATTTTTGTTCCAATAAAGTATTTTAATTGATTGATTTTTTTTGTATTTTTTCTGTATATTAATATACTATCAATTGGTAGTGCTAATTTGAAGGTCATTTTATTTTTTGCTGAAAATAATTTAATCAGTTATTTTATTTTCATTTTAATTTCACCAAACAATTGTTAAATACAATATCAACTAAATTTTAAATTTTTTAGTATAATTATACTTATTTTATGCACACAACAATGAGATTTTAATAATTTACAATACTTCTATATTTTTATGTTTACGCATTATTTATTTTGTTTTCTATTTAAATTATTTATTAAGTTTTAACATACATATTTTTTAACATTATTCATTTGTATTATTTCTTTTGAAATTTAAAATTTATTCGTTTATAACGTGAATATTGCAATTAAAATGATAAAATGTAGAATTTATTATAAAATAATAACTTACACACAATAAATTTAGTACAATAAATATTTATAAATAAAATTTTCAATCGACGTAGTGTGAGGTATGAGCTATTGCTTACAGGTCAATTAATTAATTAGACGATAAATATAAATAATGCTGGAAACAAATAACGCAGGAAGAAACTGAAATTAAAGGTAAATCACTTTTATTCGCCTTGATTGTTTTCGTTTTCTTTATACAATTCATCATAAAATATTTTTTGGCTAAATACGAAAATAAAAAAATTCTGGTGGAACAACCTCGTGGTGGTCTTAATTTAACTGTTATATAAGCGCATTACAGATTACAGCCAACCAATATATCGTGAAGAATGCTAAAGTTTGAATGCAATGAATGACAGGAATTCTAGCCAAGCGAAAGGAATTTGAAAAATGCTGCTCTAAACCTTTTGCACTGCTTTTTACAGCCTTCAAATGCCATAAATAATTTTTTTTATTTAATTTCCAAGTGATTAAAAATTTGCTCTATGAGCTGATCTCGGCATAATTCAAGCCGAGTACATATAATTGAAAGAAAGGGATCTACACGGCGGTTGTTATTATTTTTGCAATTGTTGCACACAGCAATATTCGTTGCGCCGGCCGTGGAAAGGCAGCGCGGCAGAGGCGCTCATCGTCGCTCTCGGCCACTTTTGTCAGTCGATTCGCACGGTGTGCATTGCGCGCGGTAGTTGGTAAATCGCTGCTCACCTGTCCACACGACAACGACATGCTCCTCGGCCTGCTCGTGCCGCCGCTCCTGCTCGCCGCCGCGGCCCTCGCACAAGCACACCCGTGAGTCCTTTGACCCTATATTTTTTTCCTTACAAAATCACCTCAAATTCCAGCATTTTGAAAATTTTTTCCCTATTTTTTAATAAAATTTGTATAAAAAAAATCAAAATTGCGCATCAAAACTGCCATTAAACGGAGGTTTGAGATTTCATTTTGCACAATTATTTTGTATAACCTATTAGAGATTAAAAAAACTCTTAGTGGTAAATTAATATCTTAATAATAGAAATAGGCAATCATCTTTTTAAGTTAAAGAATTATTTAATTTGAACCAAATCAACGTGTTATAACAATTTTGGTACAAATGCTGAAATATTATTTTCTACTAATGAAAGTTTTTATTTTAACAAGTTTTACATTGAATGCAAGCTATTGGTGGGAGGCAAGCATTGAATTTAATTAAAAGGCGCACTAAAATTTTGGTTCATCCTGTTAGCTAAAAATTATATCACTTAATATATCGGTATGATTATCAAGAATTTTATAACAATATTGAAATAAACAATTTTATTCAAAGTGATAAATATTATCGGGTTGAAATTTTGATACAGAATAAATTTTTACAGGCAGCATTAATTATTCAGCAAATAAGAAACTGCCTTATTGAAATTGAAATTTGCAACAAAGTATTTTTTTTCCCTGCTCTTTACATTAGTGCAAATAAATATTAGTTCATTAAAGGAATATTTATTATTTTGGTAGCAAATCAATATATTTATATCAAACAAAATTCGTTGGCGACTTCAATGGTCGCAAATAGCCAAGATAATCCATGTTGTTTGATTACTGATTTTTTTCCTTTTTTACCACAATAGTTGTACTGCACAATATTGATTTTAATATTAATAATACATTTTCTAACAAATGCATAAAAAAAATTTAAAATTTGCCAAATTTGCCATAATATTTTAAAATAACCTGAATATCAAAAGGAATTTTCAATTTATTAGTGTTTATCATATTTTAATTTAATATTATTCTATTTTTGCAAATACAGAGTTAATCGTTATGTAACTTGCAAACTGTGATCAGAATGTGTGTTCGGACGATAATTTCATGGAGAAAAAAAATCCGTGCATTTCTTACATTATGCTGCAGTTGTTGACCGAAGAGAAGTGCGTAGTTAATTGAGCACATATTTGCAAATTTTCGAGCTCAGCGCTACTCCTTTGTTTCGCACACAGAGGCCAAATAAAATTGTTGACTCTGTTAATCACCGCGGCTGCAGTGAGGCGGCCGCGGAGGAAAAGCGCCGGCTTTGATGATGATCTCGGCGGCGGTTGTTGCCTCTCGACAAGAGAAATAAAACTATTAAAGAGTGCGGCATCGCATCGCACGCGTAAATAAATAGTGGCAAAGGCCAGTAACGAGCAGCGATTGTGAATAAATATCGCTCATTAGTGTGCGTGCGAAAAATAAATTTACTCTCGCGATGAATCGCGCGCAGCCTTGGCGAGTGAGCAAAAACTCTACACCTCGCGCGTAACCTATCCTTTGAAGTGTGCGCTGCGACAGCGAACACAAAACGCCACCAGATAACATCAATTTCAATTAACGTCTTTCTTTTTGTGCTGGCACTGTTGTCTTTGCTGGAAATATCCAGAAACTTCTAAATTTATTCAACATACAAATTATTTTTTATAATATTCTAATCTCATATATTGAAAAACAATCTTTTTTTATAAATTATTGCTTCATTTGATAATTACCTTCAATTACATTCTAAGGCCTGAAGCTTTGTTATGTCTAAATACTATAATTTATTGATAAATAATCTGAAACATTTGGTCAATTCACCTTCCTAAATTATAGGAAATTTTCGGAAATTTCTCTACTAACAGAAATAAATTAATACTCTGCATTATTGACTTTACACACAAATTTGTTATCCATAAGTGTATTTTTTCCTCAACTGAGATTCCAAACTGAAATTCACATGATATATTAATTCATTGATAATTAATTATTTAAGAACTTGAGCCACATTAATTTAAAAATACCTACAGGTGCCTCTATTAAAAAGTATCAATTTAAATTATATTTCTGTGCCACGATAACACGGAAATTCAGTAAATCGTGCCTTATTTTCTCCCACTTGTGAACGTGAACCGTTGCATTAGTTTTATGAAAACCCTTTCCTTCCTAGTGCATGCGAAAAACGGTATAAAAAAGGAGAAAATGATTGCGGCAGCCTTCCTACTTTGATTAAGAATAAGCAAACATTCCTCAGACAATTAAATTTAGTCCTTGTGTCTACTTTTTTTTTAATTTTGTTGAAAATAAGACTGTCACAAGGAAAGAGTGAAATTTTATTATGTAAGGAATGATGAGAAATAATATAACAAAGGTTGATAACCAGAGGCCGATCGGCCATCGGAAAGCGCAGGTGGAGTAATCAGGCGACCTCATAGTCGCTCGTTAGGGTGAAATAATTGCAGCAGCCCTGATCGCTAATTGCACTTTTTACGCGTTTGCTGGGGCCGATTAGAATTTATATTGTCACTGAGTGAGACAAATAAATGCTCTGTCTGCGCCTGTGTTTCTTGGCACTGATAGCAGAACCTTGAAAAGTTAGGAGTCGCTCGCAGGTTTCCTTTAAAAAATTTTCCCTGCGCTTTTTTACCTGGAATAAAGGAAGGCACGTGTAATTTGATGTCATTATTTGGCTTCCGACAGATAGGAGAAAGAACAAAATTAGAAATTTCAGCGAAAATTTTTTTCCAAAATGTTTTCAAAATCGTTATTCAAATTTACAACTCGCTTTTATAAAAATGTTACGTCTACATAGATGTTAAAAAACATTTTTAAAGCTAAAACTGAATAAAATAATTATTTTTTTCCAGATTTTTCTCCATATACAATTATTGCAGCTTCGTAAAAACCCAAATTACCTCGCTGTGTTTCGCGGAACTACATGTTGACCCTTTTTTAGATAAAGCGGAAAAATTAATTCCAAAATGCGCGTCACACCTCCCCCTGTCACACGCAACACCTACCCGTAGTTTTATCAAAGTGGCGACACAAGGAAAAATTTTCAAAAAGCGGGGAAATCTGAGAAAAAAAGCACTTCATCACGATAACGAGGTGCATTTTTTTCCCGGCGCACTTAGCCCCTGTCATGGTGAGGCACAATCTCGGTGCTTTATTTCATTTTTGGCGTGCAATTAAAAAGAATGCCTAATTTGATTGCTAATTTCGAGTGTTGTGTGTGCAACGAACGAATTCCAGTGGCGATATTTTGATAGTGGTGACGCGCCATTGTTATCTTCGCCGCCCTTCACCAAGGCAAATACACGAGAGCTGCTGCATACGCAACCCGACTATTATTTGCCAGCCATAAAAACACACTTCTGCGGCGGCGTCTCCTGCACTGCGCTGCTTTCGGGTTACACAAAAATTAATTACGCTCGTCAACACACAAAGTTGCAGCTCGATGATTTGAGTTGACCTACATCAGAGAGATGAAATCGGTCGTGTCTAGTCAAAATAAAGCAAATTTTAATTTATATTTGCACGTGACATTGACCTTTGCAAAAAAAAGAGTACATCAATCATTTTAATTAATTCCCGGAATTGGCATTTACGCTATTGAACAAGGATATGTATGAATAATATTCAGATCTGAAATTAGCATGTATCTTTTTGTCGCTTATGGTAATTAAATTGGTCCGCGGGCTATTTAATGGCATGCGTGTGTCGCCAGCTATTCATTATTTGTACATTCCAGCTGATAAAAGAAAAGCACTCGCTCTCGTTCAACAGTCGAAAAAATACCAGCAGCATTATTTTCGGGAAGGACGACGATCGATGAGGGCAATGTCAAGTGCATTAAAGTACGCGGAAAACGCGCTCATCTTCCATTAACCTTAGGCCTGATTATCTAAATCTGCATATTAAAAAAATTGTTTTTTTAATTCCTGGATTCTTCATTTTCTTGCGTATACAATTCAAAAAGCTTGGAAATGAGCGGACGTGCGTGGGCATTGCGAGTGCAAATTATACTGTCGACACGCGTGTTGTTGAAAAATCAGCTGATTATCGGCCGAAGTTGAAAAAGCAGCTGCAGAACGAAATTTCGCAACTAGCTAATGGGTTGCAACCCGGCCGGCGCGCACGTGCTTTTCCAACCGCACACAATCGATTTTCATTAGAAGTGATGCAAATCGCTTCGTCTCTTCGTCGACTTGATCCGGGTACAAAAGGTACAAACATCTGTTAATGACAAATGACCGAAGCAATTAAAAATTAAGATCAGTTTGAGCGACGTAAATGGTTAGAATTTTCTACAATTATAGAATTTTATTATAAGCAACATTTATTGTATAGGAAGATAATTAAATTTGCGGTTGGTTGGATTGGCAGGTCGAGTTGTCCACCTGTGACGGCCGAGGAGGCGGCCTCGATGGGCACCTCGGAACTTTTGATGAAGCTGACAGCCAACTGTCGCTACGACAAATGGCAGAGGCCGCCGAGTGAGCCAGATCAGCCGACAAGGGTGCACGCAAAGGTCCACGTCTACTTTTTGGGAGCCATCGAAGCTCAAAGTCTGGTAGGTTTTTAAGTTTTCAATTATACTGCTTATTTAATTATCAATTTTTAATTCAATATTTTGAAATAAAAATTATAGTTTTTTACAAGTGAAAGTATTCACAATAAATGTAAAATTTCTTGTGCATTTAAAAGAAAATGAAATTTGTTTACATTTAAAATAACACTACATCAATTTTTTTATGCCGATCTTTACGTGGATTACTGAAACCGATCGAGAGATCAAGAAAAATAATTTTTGATCAGACTGATTGCCAAAATTTGAACTTTTTATTTAAAAATCAATTCTCTGCCAGCAGAAATATTGTTTGCTTTCAGAAAATCAAAACTTAAATTAAAACTCCTAAATTAAAGGCAAAATGGCAACACAGTGGTCAAGATCGATTTTGCCTGATTTCAGGGCTCATCAGTTGAACTGATTTTAAATTTAATTTTTTTTTTTCTAATTTTGCAGAAATTCACAGCGCACATTTTGCTAATGTTCCGGTGGCGTGATCCGCGACTGGCGCTTCCAACACCGCGAACGCCCGACGGCCGCTTGGTCAGTTCCATGGGCGGCCAGGGTTTGCTGCTGCGAGACAAAATTTGGGTGCCGCACGTCTACCTGAGCAACGAAAGAGAGTCGGTGGTGATGGGTGCTGAGCGCAAGGACGTTCGCATCACCCTCCACCCTGACGGCCGAGTGGAGCAAGCCCTCAGGTACAGCACAATCGAATTGAAACCTTCATGCTTCGTTTGTCTTCCTGTGTTTTATAAAAAAAAATCTAATTGCTCGTCGCAGTCATAAAAGTAGAAATTCGCTCAAGCTGAAAACACGCTTGAAGTTGAGCAAATAAAATGCATTATTTAAAAAAAAAAAAAGATTAAACTTTATAATATCAATTATTTCTTAGCGTGAAAAACTTCCTGTTATACAAAACAAATCTTTCACAGCTATAAAAGCTGCTTTCCCATTTTAATCATAATTTTTGTTGTAATTGAAACGATAAAAGCGACTGACTTATTATGTTTTTTATAATATATAAACGCTCATAATTACTTTAAAAAATCCCTACTGACTGAAGTAAATTTAATTTATTTAATTTATACTCTTCCCCTTTATCGGATGTTGTAAAACTCGTTCCCTTTTATAATAAGGTGCTGAAAGCCACTTTTTTTATCTCCCAGAGAACAAAGTGCTAACAAATGTAAACTAATTGAGTGTGACAGCAAAAAAAGACAAACAATTAAGCTCATCGCCGGCTTTGATTGCAGGATGAAGGTGACGCTTTACTGTCTGATGAACCTGCAGAAGTTCCCCTTTGACCAGCAGCAATGCCCGCTAATGCTCGAGAGCTGTGCGTACATTTATTCGCCATCAATCACCTGCTCAGGCAGAGATAATTTTCTTCTTGATTAATTCAATTTTTTGCAGGGACTTACAATTCCAGCGAGCTGCAGCTGCAGTGGGAGAGCACGCGGCCGGTGACGGTCAACAGCGAGTTGCTGCTCACCGAGTATCGGCTCATCGACACGAGAACAACCAGCACCGAGGACACGGCGCCTCTGCTGACGGCCTCAGAGCCCACGCACCCTCGCCTCAGACCCAACGACTCCACAGTAGGTCAGTCAACTTGAGCGCATCTTCATAATAATATACATAATATAATTAACTGTTAAATAAATTTAATTACTTATTAATATCTTATAAATAATTATTTTTCATACAATTTTTACAATATAAATAAATTAATAATTATTAAAGTAAAAATATAAAAAAAAAAACAATTTTTTAACATACAAGATTATCTATATTTTTACGATGGAAATTACATTTTGTTTGTTTACTATTTTTAATTGTGCATATTTATTACAAAATGCTTAATTAATCATTATATATGCATAAACTGTTTACAAAATTTTAATTCGTGGTTCACAAAGGCTTCCTCAAACACAAAAAACTATTTTTTTTTAATAATTTCTATACAATGTATATAAATTAAATAAATTATTATAAATTTAAAAACAATTAACTTTACATTTAAAATTATAAATTTTGTAATGAGGCTAATAATAACCGATGTTTTTTTAATATTTTTAATCAAACCAAGCTTATGAATTAAAAAATGCTTTCTATTGGTCTTTTTTAATCATAAATAGTTTTGGAAATGATGGACGAGGAGGAGCGAGCTTTGGAGGAAAATGAGGGTCTACGTGCCAATTTTAGCCGGCTCGAGATTCGATTTCACCTTGCCCGTGAGGTTGGTCATTATGTGATGGACTACTTTATGCCCTCCATTCTACTGGTGGCCATGTCTTGGGTGTCCTTTTGGCTGGACCCGAACGCCATTCCCGGACGCACAACACTCGGCACCAGCACCATGCTAACTTTCATCACCCTGACCCGAAACACAGGCAGTGCCCTGCCTAAGGTATGAAAAAATTCATAATATGAAAAGGCAAATTTTTATTTTAGTGCTGGATTTAGGTTTCGTACATCAAAGCGACGGAAGTGTGGTTCATTGTGTGCACCGCTTTCATTTTTGGATCTTTGCTGGAATTTGCATTTGTCAACACCATTTGGCGACGAAAGTAAGTTTTTCGTGGTTTTGAGAAAATTAAATTTTTTTTTCATTATTTTAATTTTTTTAATATTCAGGAAAGAGGTGCCCTTGAAGAAAGTTAACAGCAAATATATCCTGAAATCAACGCTGACTCCAAGAATGGCTCGAAGACAACTCCAGTCATCCCTGTCTGTCGGATCAGAATTGGATAGGTGTACTTCGTGGCCACATCAATTAAATCAAGTAAGAAATTAAAATTGAATCTTTTCACAGAAATTATTATTTTGAATTTTAAAAGTAAAAAAAAAAAACATAATTAATAATTTCAATCAAAATTATAGTTATATTCACTGTGATATAGTTTTTTTGAGTCTACAGAATTGTTTGATTCATATAGGACTAAAATTTATAATGAGAACAGGTCTATTATATTGTGCTTAATTAGGAAACACACAAGGTTAATGGATATTTTTATTTTATGAAATTTTTATATTGATTGTGGGTTATTAAGATTTCATTTTGTTTTCAATTTTATTTAAATTCTTTAAATTACTTTATTTTTCAATAAATATGTAACTTTATTTAGAAATTTAGCAGTTTAAATTTGTACTTCAATAAAAATGTATTCTCGATTTAATGGAAAAATCAAAGTAAAAATTTCCAAATTGATTATAAATTAATTAAATATTAAACTAATTATTATTTGCGTATAATTAGAGCAACGCTAACCAACTGACAGTGCACTCGATGGACTCGTTGCACATCGGCAATGGAGGCGGCGTGGGCGGCTTTGATTCATGCGACACCTTGACCTCAGCCGTGTCTGCGCCGCACCGTCTGGACGACGACTGTCTCAGCATACAGATCCCCGTGCCAGGGGACCAGGGCGGAAAAGGTGAGGCTGGGCAGCCTGACCTTCCGCCAAAGCCTTCCTTCACCACGATGACTCCTCAGGAGGTGGCCAAGTGGATTGACCAGCGAAGCCGGCTCTGGTTCCCTATCGCCTTCCTGCTTTTCAACGCCCTTTACTGGGGCTTCGTGTGGATCTGATAAAGAGCAGGACCATATCAAAAGATCATATTGTTCCGAGAGTGCCGTAAATTTTTACAAAAAGTAGTCCCTGATTGGCTGTGCCATAATCTTCGTTTTTATCCTTTTGCCAACTGGAGACGTAATTCTTCCAGAGTCAAATTGCAAAAAGATGACACATTTTTTTCTGCTTTTTGAGAAATGTTTTTGGTGTTTAGCGTTGGCCAGTCGCAACGAGAGTGAATTTTAAACTGAGAGAGTAGCAAATTTGTAAGTCATGCTCGTCTGTAAAATAACTATAGCTATTGTCTCGATTGAAGAGTCATCACAAACTCACATTTTGAGAGCTTATATATTTTATTATACTGAGATGATGTATGTTTTATTTTATTTTTGTTGTCAATAGAGAATCTGCTGAGCATAAATGAAAGTGCTTTTTATCAGTCTGATTATTATTCTAGAATAAAGAAAATTTTGATTCCTAGAAACAACCTGTTTGTCTTGTTTCCTCATTTTCAAGAATTTTCAGATACATTTTTGATCTTATATGATAAGAAAATACTTATATTAAATAACAGTAAAACCGTTTTTGTTTAATTTTTCCTAAACGGAAATATGATGCCGAGCGCTCTGATTTTTCCGGCTCTTATATATAAACTTTTACAACTATACAGCCCCTGATGATTCACTCCCTCTTTAAAGTGTAAAAAATAAAATCAAACTGAATTGAAAATACTAAAATATTTAATTAGTTTAGATCTGTCATAGTCATATAACTTTTAACAAATCTTTCTACGTTAAATACTTGCAATTGTTATATTCTTGGAATTCATGAGATATAAAATTAATGGGAATAGCAGCTATTAACAACTCCTTGATCTTCATCATCAGAATCACGTTCATCAGAGTCTTCATTGCCTTCGTCTGAGTCTTTGTCAGTACTATCATCAGTGTTTACATAATTGTAAGAGTAGTCACTGCCATCAGTGTCATCATCAAAATCACTATCTTCACTGTCTGAAGAAGGCAGATTCACTTTGAGTGCTGAAATTGTAAATTGTTTATGGAATTATTTGCAAACGACATACTGCTAAGCCAATATACATACAATTTTAATCATAAATAATTTGGAAATGAATTATACCATGTAATTATTTGATAATCAGGTATTAAATTCATAAGAGAATAAATTGGAACAAATTTGAAATGCTATAAAAAAATTACTTACTACCAGCCGCATGGCTCTTGAAAATGCTTTTGAACATCCTATTTGCTTCCTTTCGCTTTTCCTCATCAAGTTTTGGCCAGCATTCCTTCCCAACAACATCCAAAGGAGTTCGCCCTTTCTTGTTCTTGGCACTTGGATCAGCTCCAGACGTCAACAGAAACTTAGCCGCTTTGGCTTTCATGTTTTCGCAGGCAGTGTGAAGAGCGGTTTTCTCATACCTCTCATCCTTCCAGTTGACAATAGTTGGGTCTTTGGAAAAGAGGCTTTGCAGGCATTTGATGACCACTTTGTCCGTTTTTTTGGAATTCACGGCACAGTGGAAAACACTGCACTCATTTACTTTTGGTGGCTCCGCATCATTCTCAAGAAGAAGTGTAATCACTTTGTGATGACCATGCATAGCTGCCATGCTCACAGGGCGAATGTCATTATAGTCACCGGCGTTCACATCAGCCCCATTCTTAATCAGCAGTTTGGTCACCTCAAAAGCATCACTTTGCTTCTCGTAATTGACAGCCTCGTGGATTGGATAGTAGCAAAGTCCATCTAAATTAATGAATATAATTACATTTTTTTTTAATTTAAAAAACAAACTATGATGATGATTGAATCATGTTATTTCTAAATACAATTAGTTGAAATGTTAACAAAATGAATTGAATTTCACTTAAAAGTGATTTACAACAGGGTCAAAATTATTTAAATATCAAACTCACACCACAAATCATCTGATCAATGTCTTTGAAGTAGTACTCCTCCAGTTTCATATTGACTGCATCTTTTCCATTGCCTCGAAGCAGCTCTTTGATCATTTCAGGAGACCTTTGCATTCTCAAAGCCAAATGCAGAGCCGTTTCACCCCACTGGCCTGTTTGCAGCAACACCTCAGGCTTCTCAGTTTGGTGGAACTAAAATATTGCAAAAAGAAGGTTGAAATTTTTTTAAACATGTGCCTGCAATTTAACCTCCACAAACTTCTCGACAGCGCGCAGATCATTCCTCCAAACAGCAAAGTGGATTTTGGTCCACTTGAAAGGTCCTCTCTTGACAAACATGTAAGCTTTGTGCTGCCTAGCATAGTATCTGTCAGCCTTGAAACCCTTCCTGTATCCTTTGTTCCTGAAATAATTATTAAATACACTACTAATTTAAATTCATAATTAAAATCATTAAATAACTACCCATAGAATTCAGCACTATCAGGCTCCAGTGGCTTCCTTTTCTTGGGGTTGCAGTGAATGCAGTGTTTGCACTTCTGAAATGAGGAAGAAAAAATTATTTTTATTATAAATTTAATAAAACATAACATTTTTTCATATTATTTAATATTTAACCTGCAAAATCTGTGGTTCATCCACTTTCTGCTTTTTAGCTTTCGGCGGCATGATTATCTGCAGCCTGGGTCAGCGACGACTTAATTCAAGTTATCAAGTAAAGAGACTGAAATCAAAAACAGGTATTGGATTATAATCAATTAATGTACTTTGATGAATGTTGGGCCAATTTTGGAAAATTTAAATTGCATTCCAAGCATTCTTAAATCAGAATTAAATTAAAATATAGATAAAAATGAAAGCAGAAGCTTTTGAAAACTTTTTTCAATTTAGAAAAAAAAACATCTTTTGCTAGAAAATCTAGAAATTTCCCAATTTGAACTTGTTTGCTTTTCCGCATGCATTTGGCTTATATTAAAAGAAAGGTATTCCAGGGTTTGACAACACAAAGGGATAAATGGGGATAAAAGAGGGAGAGAAAGAAGCCTGAATTGAAGAAGTTCAGCCACTTCGGCCACACTCGAACTGTTGTTGCAAAATCCATAGAAGAAAGGATTTTGCATTTTGGTGGGAAAAAGGGCAGCCCATGCGTTGGCTTCAGCATTTTTTTACATAAATTTAAAATGAACAAAGAAATGTTTGACAATATTCATATTAAAAAAGCACACATATTTCCAACGACGATACGAATAAAAAATAAAATCAGCAAGAGGCGGCTGATAAAAAAGTAGTCCCTGGCTGGCCACGTGGGGCAAATTCGTCTTCTTTTCGCAGTCATACCGGAAAAATTTCAGAAATTTCATGCAAAAGCTATGAGAAAGCTGCCAATTTTAAATTACGTCAGAATTTCACTGAAAAGGTGAAAAACAAAGAAGAGCTCAAACGCTGCAAATCTCGGCCTGATGGCGAATCCAGCGACCTGGTGTGGGCAGGGACAGTGTTTTGCGGTGGAGTCGGGATTCTGGATGACGAAATTGAAGAAAATGGATGAAAGATTAGAGATGGATTAAGGATTTGTGTGGCTCAACCACAAAGACAAGACCAAATAAATGAGGATTATGAGGACGAGGACTATGTACATGAACACTCACATACTTAATTGGGTACTTACATATAACTCACTATATTTCCTTGGTCCTTGGTTTGGTTTTGGTGTGTGGTGTGTGAATGTGTGTGTGTTATTTATGTATTTCACTTCGCGCCTCGCGGGTCGCACACGGAACAAGAAAAGGAGGTGGTGGGACAAGTACAAACCGGTTATTCTTTTCTCTGTTCTCTCAAAACTGGCCACCTGGTGGTTGATTTTTGAAGTAGCGTTGTAAATAAACATGTCGATTTGGTAAAAGTTGGATTTTTGCGAAGTTCTGCTCAGCCGAAACAAAAGAGATGCCTATCCCGAAACGGTAATAATCTTTCTTAAGCTCATTCCTTCTTATTATAATTATCCTTTTAATTTCTTCTTGCAAATGTGGGAAATAATTAAATTAATTAAGGCATCCCAATCAAGGGTTTTTGTGCTAAAGTGAAATGCTCGTATTGCTCGTGGACTATTGTAATGGAATTCTCTTGCTTCTTTTTTAACAAGGCCAGTACGTATCATTTTAATGTCTAGTTATCTAAATTAATCGCAAGACGAAGAGGCTAAAAAAGTTAAGAAAAATTAATGTTATGATACACGTAAGACAACGTTGTTTATCTTTCTCTCCGACAGGTGGCACGTGTAACGTGTCTTTGAAAAAAAGTCCCTCTAAAAAACGCGCCAACGTAGAGATGGCGCTTATCAACCTTAATAATTATAATAAAGGCAACGAGGAATTTTTCGAATTTTTTTCCACCGAGGGAAGGAAAAATAATCTTATTTTGTGTTTTGAGAATCCCCGCCTTTTTCCCAATAAAAAATTATTTCCTTCCTCTAATAATTTATTTCCCTGACAGAATTAAAGCGAAGAAAGAAAAACTTTCCTCGATCTATTATTCTTGAAAAAACTAATACATCACAATTATTATATTTTCCTCCTTTGGTTTTGTCCTCGCAGATGGCTGCAGTACACCAAGTTTGGCAAACAGATTCCCGGGACACGGTTCGTGGCGCTCAAGTGTCCGCTAAGAAAGGTAAGCTCGCAGGGTATCGGGTGTTGCTTATTTATAACAATATGTAAATCACAATTACCGCCGCCATTGTGGTGCCTCCCCGAGCGAATGGCTCGAATAAAATGCAAATCAGCCACAAATCAAGTCATGGGGGTGCCACAATGATTGCCGCACACCCTTTTCCCATGAATATTCAAGCGCGTCCATCGGCCCCGACAAGTATTCTCTCATTCCTACCTGCTTTTCCAATGATATACAAACGCTTAGCCCCGTCGCCTCAAGTGAGAAAAGCAGTGGGTTATGCGTTTTCAATTTATTCATCTCTCCACTTTGTGAGTGAGCTTTGGAATTCACTTCGACTCTCGCCACCTGAGTGAGATTTCGTTTGAAATAATAAAATCATGTGACTGCCTCTTATCACTTAAGTGATTGACACTGCACTCGCTTTGGTATTAGAAATTTTTTATGTAACGTTAAAAACTTGATTGATATTATAATCTATTATTCATCACAATTATTTTAATCAATTAGAGAAAAATTAAATAATACGATAACTCTGAATGATGCGATTACGTTTTTTTATGTCAATTAATTAATAATCAAATTGATTAAAATTTTTTAGCTATTCGTTTGCACTCTTTTATCAGAGCATTTTTAGTAATTAACAAAAGAGTTTATTAATTAAATTTAATTCAAATTAAAATTGTTTACTTGTTAATATTTTTATCAAATTTACCCTATTTAACTTTTCCCAAAAAGATTTTTTTTTAATATTCAGTTAATCTTTCAGCCAATCAAGTTTTAATGAATTTAATTAGAAAAAAATGCTTTAATCGCTGGAAAATTTAATTTTGCTGAGAAATGTCCAGAATTTTGTCATCAACTGATAATGATATCGGGAAATGTTTTAAGATTAATGCTTCCTTCCTTCCAAATATATTAGTTCGTGACTCACATATTGGATTTTAATAGTTATATTTCCCACTGAGGCTCTTAACAGAATGAAAAAGTTAATTAATCTGTGCGTGTTTGAGCAAATTAAGAGTTAAACGGAACAAAGCCGGCGGCGGCGGCGGTTTTTTTGTTGTTCGCTTTCAATTAGCCGGCCTCGAGTGGCATTTAATTTGTTTGCCGCGGTGGACTAATCATCAGATAAGGGTGTGCAGCAGGTGCTCTTTCATCCCCTAATGGTTCTGTCACTCAACTCGCCCCCGATAATTAATTCCTCTCTCTCAGCCAAATTGAATTCTTCTCCTTTTCATGACCAACCAAAAACGCGCACACTGCTGCGGGTTCTAATTTATATTTATGTTTTGTGTAAATGGCCCGGCCAGATGCCGAAAATAAAATAAAAGCCTCATGTGAGAGAGTGAGACAGAAGGACAAAAACTTTTCCTATTTTAACTTCCAAATAATTGTTGGGGGAAAAAAATCAAACTGTTCAGTTTTATTCAAATTAATATTGGATTAACTTTGAACAGCATTTGCTGTAGGCAAAAAGAATAAAAAAAACTGAATTATTATGGTGATTTGAATTTAAAATCAGCTTTTCCTGACCAAAACTATTATAAAAATTAATTTGTTACAAAAAATTTTGTATTCAATTGTCAAATTTTGTGTGAAAAAAAATGTAAACTTTTAAGTAATTTTTCACGAAAAAGTCTTAATTTGAAAGAAAAATATTTTTAAAAGATTGGTTTTTGATACTAATTCTTGTCAAAATGATTTTCACAGCTCATGCATTATGGCTGCAGCCAAAACATGTAGAGCAGGATATTTTGGTTTTGAAACAATAAACAATTCTCAAAACCCATCGACGAAGAGTCGTTTTTAAATTAAAATCACCCTCGATCGTGAAATTCTACCACTAAATGAAATATTAATTAAAATGAATGTAGCGAGGGAATTTCATAATTGATCATTGGTATAAAATTTATTCAGTGAATTGTTGGTACTAATTAAATTATGTGTATAGCAATCTGCAAACCTAAAACTTATTCCAATTTTTTTATGCCCTATATATTATCTGCATTTCAACTTTTTTAGGTTTTTACGCTTTTTCAGTAAACCATAATAATAATAATAATAATCAATAATAACAATTATATTGTAAAACTCACATAATCTTTATTTCCTCTTTCAATTGTTCTCTTCTTTTTCGTAATCGGAACAAAAAATGTCACAATTTCTTGGTTGAAAATTTCAAATGCCGCTTTATAAAACGAAAAACAAAGTTTATTTTCATTTTGTCGAGATGCGTTATCGGTTAAGTGACGCGTTTAATTGCAGCCTTGACTTTTCATTAGAGAAGAGGCACTCCATGGAAGAATGCGTCTCGAAAAAAGCTGTCAATAAACTCTGGTAATTTGTCGATATCATCTTTAAGACCGGCCATTCATTAAAAACGCGAGGGGGCCTGGTAGGAGGTTTATCAACCGACTTTTTACACCATCTAGAGAGTTTTAATTGGGAATTCCTAAATTATCGCATCTCATGACAGATATGATTTGCTGCTGCCGTCTGTTCTCTTGAAGAATTCCAAAGCTACAGATTATATAATTTAAAAATTTTGATCTTTGAATTATTAAAACCACATTTCTTGGCCTCAACCACTTTGGGATTAGTTTGTTTAATTAATATGCATGATAATTTTTATGATTGGGATCAAAAAGGGTAAAATCACTTTATTCAATTGTCACAGAGTTTGATAATAATGATGGATTGAAATGCATATAAAAGCGAGATGACGTTTCTTAATCTCGCATTCTCGACTGCAACAATTTTGTTGTACGAGTTGAGAAAAGTGCCAATATAGTTATCACGTCAAACTTTTTTTTGTCACTGGAAATAATCGGTTGTTCCACACAATTTTATGCCCAATCTACGCTTGAAAAATCACAATCTCATTACCGAAGCAGCGACCGCGTGAATTCTCATCTTTTTGTTCTTTTGTGCATACCTTTTCTCTCCCTTTCGTCGCGCCCACGCCGGAATACATTACCAAAAATGCCATTGTATGGATATTATATGCGTTATATTGAAAAATTAATAACGCTCTGAAAAATCGTTTTCCAACCCTGCGCGCGGAACGAATTTCTCGGGCTCACCACCACTCGACGGGGTGTCCCGATAAATTATATACCGAACAGAAATGAATGACTTTTATTGCTCTTTACACTTTTCCTCCCTGCTTCTTAAACGGAGATTGTCTTTGGAAATTCTTTGTTCCCTCAACAAGAGTCAAAAAGATAATGGAAAAGCAAATTTTTATGTAAGTCATTTTTTTAAATAATTATTGGTTCAATATTATTTTTCTTGCGTATCAATAAAAATCAATTTAATAAAGATTTTCTCAATTTAATTTCAATTAGTGATAAAAATTGTTATTATCTACTTAAATCTACATATTAAAATAATTTTAATAAGTTACTTTTAAAAATTGTAAAAATTGTTTGTACGAAAATAGTCCTTAATACGAAAATACATTGAAAGTGTTATTGTTAGTAAAACAAATTGTAAAATAATTTTACTTCCCTCATGGTCTGGGCTATAAAAATGGTCTCTATATAAATACATTATATTAAAAAAAAAAAAAATTGTTACATCTCCAACTCCAATTATGCTATTTTTATTTTAATTGTGGTAAATGCTTGTTAGAGTTCTGTTATTTATTTCATTAATGAAATTCTACGGTCATCAAAGAAACATATGACCAGATTTTTTCCGGTTTTAAATCGCTTTTTACCACGGAATTTGAATGATAAGTTAACATTGATTTACAGTTTATTTACAATCAAAATAAAAATCAGAGGAAAGTCACGAATTTTGAATAAAAATGCAGGCACGTGGAGAAATTAGAATATTAACGAGGATCGATATTTTCCCACTTGGCCTCGCGATAGCATCTTGACCGAACTTGGCAAACAAACAGATAAACAAATAACGAGCGTCCGAAAAAGGCATTAATTGAATTCCGCAGCAGAGAAATCCAAACACGCCGCGCCCGTCGGCCCGCTCGGCAGTTTATCAATAAAACGTGCGTGTGGTGCTCGCTGCCGAGATCATATCGCACGCGCGGCACATTTTCTGAGGTGGGCGGACGGACGGACCGAACCCTTTGGAGGGTTGACGCCGTGCTGGGCTCGAGGGCCCCCAGCGGGCCCCCGATGGCCTCCAGCCGCGCGCCGCTTCGTGGGGCTGCCAAAAAGCCAATTAACGCTCGGCCTGCTGTGTCACAGGGATAATGAGAAAATCACAAACCGGCGTTCAAGTCTCCTCAAATTCCGCCCCCTCCTCCACTGCCCAAAACCATCCACGTCCACTTTTATTTTTCGCCGTTATTTATTCCCATTTGGAGGATTGGGCAGTTCTTTGTGTTTTTTGTTTATTGGACATGATTTTATCATTTTTATCTATGGGTGAATTTTTGGTGTCAAATTTGGTGTTTTAATAGAAAATAGAATTGAAATTTTGTTATTGCTCATTTCACTCTACTTGAATTAGTTCATAGTCACTATCCAGTTCTCTATGAAATTTAAATGCATTAATTAGAATAATTTAGAAAACTGTAAATAAATTAAATAAAACTTAATTATTCTGCCAAATTGTTTATAATTATTCTTTTGCAGGCGAATGGATTGACAACTATTATTGGCTTAATTGTTTTGTTCCATCATACTATAAATAATTCATGCAAGTATTTTTTTAAATTAAGAATTCCATTGAAGTTTTTTAAAAGTTTTGGTTTAAATTTAACTGTGTACTAAGCATGAAATGAATAATTTCAAAAAGATTCTATACAAATGAATTTAATTTGATTTCTGATGGTCTCACTTTCCATTTATAAAAATTTGAACAAATCATCTCTGCAGCATCGCAATGTGCCCGCGGCAAATTTTTCTATCCCTCTCCGATGGTAATTCAATTATTGTTCCCTAACGATTGTTTCTCTCCGCCCCCTTGATATGGATTCAATGTTTTTTCTTTTGGTTCGCACGAATCAGGGATAATTCAGGCTCTTG